GACCGATGAACTATGTAATGTGATCTTTGGATTTTGATTCTTCCAATTCGACAATTAAATGTGTATTTGATTATGTGAATGATTTATATACATTAATTTCGTGTATGATTGAGTGCATGCAATTATGTGATGTGTAGTAATTTATTTCTTACATTTGAGAGAAAGGAAATAGATTTGGCAAGGTATAAATGATCGTAGAGTCCGATAGAGGATAAAAATATACCTCTATGCTTTGCGTGAATCGTTAATTGCTCATAAAACTACATACATTTTTATATATATGCATCTATCATAGAGATACAGGCTGGTGATATGTAAGAATAGGTTCAATATTGCTCAAGAGTGTGTGTTGGATAAATTTAGGGGCATTGATTCTTCAATAATCAAATCGTATTGTCGTCTTGTGAAATTAGAGTTTAAAGTGAGCATTACGTAGAAATTCGTGATCCTAGTGCTTTCCAATTTCATTGAATTCAATCAATTTTGCGTTCCAATCATCACATCGCAATCAATTTCATTTAGACACATCATTTTGCATATTCAATTCATTTAATAATCATTTTAGCAAAATTGGGGGTTTTCATCAATTAGGGTTTTCACTAAATTAGGGTTTTTCTTAGATTAAGGTCAATTTGATAAATTCGTTTCCGTTAAAGCTAAGATAGATAAAATTGAACTACTCGATCTCTGTGGGACAATATTCGGAACTTAATACTCCACTTTATTACTTGTTAACGAACCGTACACTTGCAATAATTTAAATTGAAAGAAATAATTTCGTGAACATTAATCCATGCTTTGATTTGAAATTGGAGGGCAAAATTATAGAAATGGTAACATTATCTTATATATTTACATTTTTTTAATTAATTTTGACTTCCACTTATGGTGCATGACTTTTAATTTTTAACTTTCGGTTGGAGTCCGTTCGGCATTTTTTTTACTTTGTTTGGAGAAAGCCACATTAACTTTTTTTTGAAAATTAATTTTTAAAAGATGTTACTATTTTGGAAGCACTTTTAAAGAAAGTCACGTTAGATAAACTTCTTTTAAAAATTCTTGTAATTAGAAGAAACACTTTCATAAAAGAATTATGTTTCTTGTTGAATTTGGCCATTGATTGGAAAAAAGTGTTGTTAAAATCAATATACAAAAATCTGTAAACTCACACGATGTCAAACTTGTTGTACATGTAGCATGATCGTTCATAAAATTAGTCGAATGGTTTAAAAAGCAATTTTTGTGTTTCAAAAGTACTTTTTCACTTTTCGAAAGTCATGCCAAACGAACCCCTAATCAATATTCGGATGCGATTTCGAAACATTAAGAATAACTTCTTGGTCTATATGACGTGTTTGATACTATTGTCAATTTGATGACCACTTGATACATGTTTGGTAAAACTTTAATTTAAGTTGATTCAATATATTTTTTTATCCACGTCTTCTGACTTCCGTAAAACACATAAATTATAAACACTTAATCAAATGAATGATTAATTAAATCCCGGGTAAATATATTCACACAACAATATTTATTTCTTGCACAACATTTTAATTATAATTAATGTTCCTAATGTTTACTTATTATAGCATATATGTGTCTAACGATTTTTAATAGCACTCTTATCATCAATCTTTTCATTAGTTATTAATACATATTGTATTTTTAATATTTTATGTCCAATAATTCATCGAAATAGCATATAACAACTTCATTTTTCATCATATTAAAAAAAAAGTACAAAAAAAATATTTTCCCCTCATTTTAAAACTTGAAAACAAAATATTTGATATAAATCATCATCAATGACGAGATGTACTAATTAATGAAAAGTTGAAGATAAAAAAATTCGACCAAAAAAATTCAAGGAAATAATTACTGCTACGAGCAAAGATTGAGAATTCTAATTGCATTTAAAATGTGGTGGAAATATAATCACCCTTAAATCCCTTTGATAGTAACGATATGTTTGATCATCATTTGATAGAATTAAAGAAGTAAAATTTAATAATTTTGATAAAATTAAATAATTAAAAAACAAAATCTAATAAATTTTTTTGATGGCGTTATTTAGAGCATGCTTGATATAGTTTTTTTTTTTTTAAACATATTTTGTGAAAAAATAGGGTTTCTTTATGTTGTTAAAAGTTGGAAAGAATTATGATTTTATGTGAAAATTTTTTTTATTGGAAGGATGTATAATTAAAAATTAATTTTAAAAAACAATTAATTATTATTTTCTTTTCTTTTACCAAACATGGACTTCTTATAATTAGATGCTCTTGGATTACCAAACAATTCCATTCATTTTTCTACTTAATTAGAAGAGTTTTCAATGTGCCTATTCACCATGAATGATAGATCAGATGCATTAAAACTTGTGTCACAGAAAACTGTTGGACGAAGCAAAAATGAGGTAATGTTTTAGGTTTGTTGATTTTAGTCCGAATCAATGAGGTAGGTTCGGACTGCTTCATACTCAAGAAATTGGGCTAGTGTGTTGTCACAACATCTGGAGTTTAAAGGAGCACCATTATGTTACCTCAATCCCATACCTACGATGAAGGAAAGAGGATCAATTAGTTATTTAGAGCCCAAAAAAATCATGACCATATCTTACAATTTCAATTTTGCCTGAATTAACAACATAATGTGGGTGTGGAGGAAGTTCTTGCGTATGCAAGTTTTTGATAAGAACCCAGAAGATTTGAGAACTATCGTGCAACAGAAGCAATAGAATTCGGTCAGATTGGAAAAATTAGTTGTAAGGCAGCTATAAATGTGAGTGGAAGGGAGTATAACAAACAGGCAAATATTGAGTGATTAGTAGGTGGAATAGGAGAGTAATAGCCCTCTCAAAAGGCTCTTTGTTACCTCTTTCATTACTGTAACCTTTCAATTACATGAATACATAGCTGCTCCCTTGTGCAAATTGAATTCTGCCCTTTTTCAGAATGGAATCCTATCAATTGGTATCATAGCACCTGACTGGGAAGATGACTCTCGAGGATCGAGTGGGAGCCTTGGAAACTAGAACTGATGGAATTCACTCAGAGTTGCAAGAAGATCTGAAGTCCACGAAATTTGAATTTCAGAGGGCCATGATAGCAATGATGGAGAAATTTGATTTAATGATGAAGAAATTGAACGGGCAAGAAAGAGTGAGGAAGGAAAAAGGGATGGCAGAGAACTCACCTGAGCCGACACTTACTTTCGAAATTCCAACCGAGTTCGTTGAGGAAAGCATGAGTACAGAAGGATCAAGGGAAGGAAGTTATGGATGAATCACGGTAGGCACGGGCCATAACACGGAGGAAAAAAATTGGAGGCGAATCAGGAAGTTGAAAATGCCGATTTTCATTAATACTTGGAAATTAATGGGTTGACTGAACGAGAGAGAAAGAAGATGGAATTGGACGCTCTTTCGCAGACATTATTGAAAGAGATATTGGAGTGTAATTTTGTGAATGGGTTGAAATAGGAGCTATGAATATAAAATCTGTGGGCCTGAATTTAGAGAAGGGCCAATTATTAGAAGGCAAAGGAGCTAGCAATTAGGGCTGACATTCCTATGGAAAAACTTGTGGGCTTGATTTAGGAGGTGGCCCAATCAGTACAAAGCAACTTACTATTGAAACAAGGCTTAATAGCACAAAATGTCTCTACCTTTGACCTATAATTTGCAAAATTTCTATTCATTTTAAATTTTTGCATTTTCACCCGGTTTCATAGCACAAAATAGGCTTGGTCACGGTTTAGGTTGGGTCGGGCCGGTTTTTACCTCAACCCAAAATCCAATCCGACTTTTGGATAAATTTCAACCCAACCTGATCCAATCAAGCTCTTAAATTGAAGCAACCCAAACTCTATCGG